CACACACACACACACACTAAAAGCCTGCCACTATGTGTTGGACAAACAGAGTGTTGGCTTCATTGCATTAATGTGCATGTGCCCTGTAGCTGGTCATGTGGAAAAGGTAGTCTAGGTCAAGGAGAAGAGGTGGAGGGGGGGGGGGGGGGGGTTGGTTCTTGAGATAAGAGGCTTGGGTAGCGGTTGTTAAAACCCCTCAGCCCCCTCTCTTTAAACGCACATGCCCGTGTAGACACACACGACTTCAAATATTCAGCACCTCAGCCTCTCATTCACCCAAATTCCACTCTCCGTCGTTGTCACTGTAGTTTAGCTCCGGAGGCGTCGGTCACGGTCTCCCTTCAATCGTCCTGATTGGCTAAAGGGAAGAGGGTCTTGCAGTGGGGGCTCGCTGGTTGGCGGACCCCTCATTCTACTATTTTTGTGGGGATTATACTCCATCGATTGGGCACGCTCCCAAACCCCTGCATCTGATATATAAAGAGAGAGGAGGACGAGAGGAAAAGGGTGATGGAGAAGGAGGGGGGGAAGCAGGAAGAGAGGGTGGGAGGGTAGAGGGGGGAGGGGCATCCTCCCCACTGTCTCACTTAGGGTTTTAGTCAAGTTGTGCTCGTCTCGGGCGCACATGTCTGCGTGTCAGTGAACCTGCGCTGTCACAAGGTTTCGGGTAGCTTATCCGCTGTCGTCTGAACGCTGGAAGATGTGGATGCTCGGCTAAATTTCACCCACTGAGGATCATTGGGGAATAACTTTTTATACGCCGGTAGCTCGCTGTGAAAGGTGGCAAGCGAACAAACATTTTTGTTTCTTCTTCTTCTCCTCCTTGCAATGTAAAGACAACTCAAAAGGCACTGTGTTTGCCTTTTTTTGATTCATCCATTATGGACGAACCTGGATATTCTTTTCATTTTTGCCCTCGATGATCTTTGCACGAGATCCTTGTATCTTTGAGTTGGAGGGCACAGAGGCTTTTCTGATCTGATCCCACACTCATCCGCAGCCTCTCGCCCTTCGGGGATCTTCTACTATTGTTTCCCCCTCTGCTGTATAGCCAGATCAAAGGGAAAAAAACCGGCTGCAGCTCCATACGAATCCAATATGGAACCATAGACGGCAAATGGAGCGCCATATTTGAGGGAACACTGGGCCGATGTCACAATAGCGGCGGTTGAGCATCTTGGCTGCTTATTTGTCTCTGATCGCATATTCACACACAAGTGATAAAACACACCCACTTGCGCACGTGGACGCGTACACAACCTGCAGAATGGAGGTGATGGCATCTTGTTGGAGGGGGCAGGTAGGCAACATAAAAGCATGGAAAAATTGGATTCGGTTTTTGCACGACTCCATGCGCCACCATGCCAGAGGCTTGTGCATTTAAATGGTTTAGAAGGCTGCTTACTATTTAATGAAGTTGTGTGTGTGCATGTCTTATTCCTGCCAGAGAATAATGAAAGACATGGGTGAAGAGAATGAGGCAAGGCTCTGAAATCAAAAACCCTTCTTTTGGGTTTTTCTTGTGTGTGTGGTTTTGTGATTGTGTGAATGATAACCATGCTCCCGTGTGCCCATCTAGGAGGAGCAAGCTGCCAAATTGAAGGCAGAGAAGATCCGAGTCGCCCTGGAGAAAATCAAGGAGGCACAGGTCAAAAAGGTAAGGACCACCTCTTTCCTTTGTACACACATCTCACTCACTGTCTCCATTTCCCTTCTAAAAGACCATTCCGACTCACGTAATAATCGCCGTCTCGTCACATCCACCGCGCGCTGCATTTCTTTGTGAACTTCATTCACAGCGAGGCTGCAAAGCGCTGAGAAAATAGGTCATTGCAGTGTTTGATTATGTGTGTATCTGCTGGGGAGGGAGCAAGGAAATCAGAAAGAGGCTTCAGAAAACGAGCGCTGCGAGACAATGCAGACACACTACACAAAACAATGCAGACACACTACACAAAACATCTCATTTACCCCATCCGACCCCAACCAGTGCTGATTTTTCGGTGGACAACTGGTGCTCCGTGCTCCATTGAAAGCCGCGACGTGTGCTTGTCTCAATTGGGAAGTCGGCGTGGGACTCCACAGACAGGCCTTTTTTTTTTTTTTTTTTACCAGTGTTTTCAGCCAGTGAATGAACTGTCTCTGTGAATGAGAGAGACAGAATGGTGGCCTTTCTTACATGCAATGAATAGTTGAGAGCCAATAGTGTTTCAACAGACAGGGCTGGACTTCACTCTGCCAAGTGAATACAATACGACGAGATAAAGAGTGCTGGTACAACCGAAACATAAAACCTCGGCTGGCGTAGCAGAATGCTGTGATGTGCTAAATTATGAGTGCTGTCATTGTCAGCAGTCTACACAGACACTATCTTGCATTCATGACATTGAAGCAGTTTGATTGCATTTGGTGGAAAGGTTTAGAAACTTATCTCGTTGAGACAGTGGGGTATTTGGTTTGATTTAACTTGTTTTTGTTTGGGGTTTTTTTCTACCAGACTAGGGGGTTTTAGGGGTCTCTCCTCAGAGAAATGTAGGTCAGACTCCCCATGTCTTAGTCTCACAGCTCCCCCAGCTTTCTTATTGGTCAAAGTCTCTGTTCAATCAACTATACCCACTCACTGATTGGCTGTCAGGGTCCCAGTGGGAGGGGGGGGCAAAACAAGAGGTCAAGGAATTGAGGGCTTTATTTGGTTTCACATCAGGACGAGTCTTGCGTGGGATGCGATTGTGCGAGGCTGGATTTGGCACGTGTGCGTTTGTCTCATCCAGATTAGTTTAAGCTTGCTTGTTATGGGGGTCTTTTGGTTGCCTATGGATGAAATACTTTGGCCAGATTATTGGATTTTCAGCGTATATGCGGCATTGTGGCGGTAGTGACCCCATAAATAGGTTGCCGTATTTGAACCATGCCTCACGAGTTTAAAATAATTACATTTGCTTAAATCATTCAAGTGCATACATATGGATTATACTCTCTAACTTTTAGCATTAGTTTAAACAACAAGCTGATCTTCAAATAAACACTTTCCTTTCTTCTCCTCTTTCAGCTGGTGATCAGGGTCCACATGTCAGACGAGAGCTCCAAGACCATGATGGTGGACGAGCGGCAGACAGTCAGGCAGGTGCTAGACAGCCTGCTGGATAAGTCACACTGTGGCTACAGCCCGGACTGGTCTCTTGTGGAAACCATCAATGAGCTACAGATGGGTGAGCACGCAGACAGTTTCCACCGCACCTGAGTCAAATAAACACTGTTTATAGCTTGCTTTAATCTGCGCTGGTGGCACATGGATGGGGGCTGAATGCACAGAGCTGGGGGGGGCAATGTAAACAATTTAGGTGACAAACATATCCTGTATTATAATTATCTGTGGTCTAAGAATAGTCACTGTTTGTGACTTCAGGCTAATTGTCAGGCTTACAGTTAAAGGTTCTGCCCCACCCAAAAAAAAACAAAAATCCCTGGAGGGAGGAAATTAAGTGCACATTTGCTGGTCAGCAAAAAAAACTGCCTATCTTGCGTCTTATCTTCATTACTCCCTCTTCTCTCCCTTTCTCTCCCTCTCCCT